TTTTTTTTTCGAGGTAGAGATGCTGTCCAAAGCAAGGATTCTGGTTATACATGTAATTGCCTTCCCATAGCCCCAGGAAAAGTGAAATATCTGATTTGCCCTTGCCGTTTTCCTCCTGGCTGCCCTTTGGTTGCACTGCACATCTGAGGGCTGCTCTGGATCCCATTTTGGGGTAACTGAGTCTCCACATATTTGCCTGAAGCAAATCTCTGGATTCTCTCCCTATGTCCAGGCAGTCAAAATTTTGGAGCAATAGCACTCTAGTGGATTTAGCCCTAAATCTATATGCAATAAGCAGTTACGGGATAGAAAACACAGTGAGTAATGAGAACAATAAGGGACAGACAAAACAGCTGATGCTAGGCAAACCTAGTAATCCTTATTTTCTATAATTACAAGATTTGTAGGAAAAGGTTATGTAGCTATTAATGATGTAATCTGATAAGGCTCTTTTGTTACATGTAATAATCTTATAGACAATGTTAAAATACAAAGAATACTTTTTTTGAGAAATTTTGTATCAGTAAATACACAAGGATGCTTGCAATACAGTGCAGTTTTCAGAGGTTAAAAATATGGCTTTCAGATTGCAGTCAGCATGAATAATTAACCTTTTACGTCAAAGCGTGGGGGAAGTCAATAGCAGGGCTCTAAAGGGAATAGAACTCTAAAGCTATTCTTTGCACTTCTCTTCCAGCAAGAGAAACACGTACTCTGTAACACAGCAGAATGCAGTGCCAAAGCATCATCTAGTATCCACCAAAAGGGGCAAGTGTAAATGATATGAGGTTTGGTTTACAGGTACAATGTAAAGCAACACATACTCGGGAAGTGGTAATAAGCATCAGCAATTTGGAATGTGTGAGCACTACTTAGATAGAAAGCAGAGGTGCTGACAATCTCTTCATGGCTCATGAACAGACTATGCCACCCCTTTCGGTGACATTTTTGCAATGGCAAATGTATACATCCAGTGGGAGCTGTTGTCACCCAAAGAGGGAATCATCCCTGCTTGGCAACCCGAGTAGTGGAGGGAGGACTGATAAAAAATAATAATAATAATAATTCCAGGTGCAAAGGGAAATTAAAGGGAAATAACACTACAGATGTTAACGAAAGAGTGGAGAAGGATACATTTTCATGAAAGGACTATGAGTTTTTTTAATTGAAAGTGTTCAGGTAAAGAGAAGTTGTAAGTGCTCAGCAATTAGAGTAGCTGTTCAGATTTACTGTTGTGTCAAAAAGACATATGGCCTTTCTACTTCTTGTACTGAGCAGAGCTTTCAGAATAATGTCTGTGTGTAGTCTAATGTCTGTGTAGCTCTAATGGTGTAGAGCTCAAAGGAAACCTTACAACAGGAGATCGTTAGAAACAAATTTGAAAATAAAGCCAAAATAAATAAGCCAAAACCTAGGCATACCTTCCAAAGAAGAGAAGAAATTAGCTTTTAGACTTTTTACCTTTTCAAGTCTCTGTAGTTTGTTGTAATAGTGTTTGAAAAAATCTTTTAATCATTTGAATGAAAAATATGATTTATGATCCAAGGCGCTTTTTCTAATGAAAAACTTGAATCTTGCTTAAACCCTTCAGTCTGTATGAATTTCATTTTTTTTTGAGATTTACAGTAAAATCTGGAGAATTTGGTTATGTCTCATAACCAAAGAGCCCATGAAAAGCTGTGAACATTTAGTTTCACCTATGCTATTCTGAGATGACATTCGGACAGATAAAATTGAGAGAGACTTCTTGCCAGGAGTGCAGATCTTCTTAGAACTGTGCAGTGTTTCTACACTTCCTCTGCAAGATCTCTCAGATCCTGGAATAAAATCAGAACAAGTTCCCAAAAGCAGAGAACGTCAGCAGTAACGCGACCCATAAACATCATCTTGGGTTTGTGACACCAGTCTAAAGCCAAGACCGGAGCAGCGTGATGGCAGGCACTAATGCATATGGCTATTTGCCTTCCCCAGTTCAGCAAACTCATCCAGCTGGGACTGCTTTTTGCTCAGAAAGCAGTAAATGTGCTGGTCTGGGTTGGTTTGCATTCTTGCAAGTGCCACCTTTTTTGGGAACAGCAAGGGTGTGAAAGCAGCCCACAGAGCCTGCTGTCAGTGGTGGATGTTGGAGCTCACAGCTAGGCAATTAGGAGCCAAAAAAGCAGAAGACACCTGGCCAACTCGAGCAAAAGCTGCAGCCGAAAACAAGAATGCAGAAATATAGCTTTTACTTATTGCACCACAGTCTGGTTTTATTCTTGCTTTGTTAAGACTGGCGTGGTTTTATGTTAATGTAGCTCATTCCTAGCCAGTGATTATTATGCTTTGAATTAGCAGTGCCTTTGAAAGCTTATTTCATGAAAAATGAGATAGTCCTTAAAAAAAAAAAAAAAAAAAGAGCGGGGGGGGAAAAGAGCTGTTATTTGCATTAGCTCAGAGCTGTGTGTGTTTTGGCGAGGCTGAAGAAGAGCCACATCATCTCTTCATGGCTGATGGAGAGCACAGCAGGACTCCTGGAGCACAGGAGAGTTCTGTGTGAGACAAGATACTCAAATTCAAGGAAGAATAGTCAAAATATGGAAATGGTTCTGAAACTGTTTGGTTTGTAATGAACCTACCCTTTGGGTAAATTACTTCTGACTTCAGTGTTAGTTTTGCCTGACCATGAATCCATCCTAGCTTGCTGTGAGTGAGTAAACCTTCCTGGGGGCAGGGAGAGCACAGATGGTGTGTAATAAGCTCCCTTTTGAAGGGAGGGAATTTTTAAGGAATTTCAATCCTGTGGGCCTGGCCAATTAGGGCTGGCTTTCAAGGAGGAGTCATGGGAGCCCTGATGTTTAGTGGCTGTTAAGGGACCTCGGTAGCAGCACTGGTGCTTCAGGAAGGAGCACAGGAGAGTGGGTGAGCAAGCCAGAGGCGTTATGTGACATTTCCACTGTGTGTTTATGTATCAGAAAGCCTAATTTGGCAGCAGTAGCTTGTCATTCCCGGTTTGTTCTGTGGGCTGCTCCGATTGCCCCGGTAAGCAAGCAGGGAGGAAGAAAGACCAGCCCTCTGCCTCTAACAGCATCTCCAAAAAATCCCAGCCATGGAATAAGGGGTGATCTTATGCGCTTTACTTAGACATCCCTTAAGAAGGGAGGAGGGGAAAGGCTCCTTGCAGGGAGAGTCACATGGTCTATACCCCATATGGTTTTCAAAGCCCAGTACATTGCAGTGAAGAAAAGAAGGTGTAAGGAAACTTCTGATTTCCTCTGCCCTTTACCCTCCCACTGTGTTTGGCAATTTCCAGTCCTGGTGCAGCATGTCCCCGGCACTGCCTGGGATGCTCTCTGGTACAGGGTGTTGTGTGGAAAAGAGGCCGTTGGCACCACAAGTACAGTTGCAACAGTGAAATGCTTTGACCCAACCACCTTTTCCTTCTTTGCTTTCATTGCAGCTAAAGGATGCTTAGAAACATCTGTCTGTCTCTCCGTTATCCCAGAAGACAGACATTGTTTTTAAGTCCCA